CTGGATAAGAACAACTTTTGGGAAAGCAAGGCTATGTGAAATTCAATGGAAACGTCAGATCTACTCATATCATTATGGGAAAATTCGACTACCAGTCCTTCATGACCTTAGACGAAATAGGGTGAATACATCTCGTTACACTGATTTACTTGTAGTCGCGAAACTCTACTCTCATACGAATAATATTTATAAATGAAGAGATGTATTAATGGTATATTGTATGAACAAAAAGGGGTTTAGCTATGAAATAGTGATTGTCACCAATTTTGGCAAATAATTACCTAACTCAATTTGAAGAACTCTTAATTTAGGAAGCACTTTTAGACTCTAAATGATTGGTTCGATATACCGATTGATATCTTGACATTTATAAGAATTGCAAATATAATCCGGGAATATTCCTAAAGTTGATGAGGTAAATAGATGAGAAGACGAAATCCACAATTGAATCAGCAGAAGAAGGTATCTTACGTATTCTAGATGTCCTAGTTGACAAAGAAGAAACTGAATTAGGCAGAGATGTGTATAAAACCCACAAATTCGAGTATATCTTTAAAGTTCTTTTTCAACCATGCCCCTGGGGCTTTAGCCCCAGAGTAGGAGTTATTAAATCGGTAGTAATAGGGAGTCTGTGCCTTGCAGAGATTAATCATCGGAGCAAGGAATTAATGTGGCTAAGGAGAATTCTGGTTAAGAACAATTATCCACTAGGACTAATTAACAGTTATTTTATAATATTAGGGCGCGATAGGTGGCTATACAGGTCCACTAGAACAAGTTTGCTGTCAACCTGTAATCTCATGAAAAGGATGGGCGAATTACTGAGTAAGTATGACATCAAGACAATCTATATGGAGGAAATAACTCTCCTCGGTAATGCATTTTTTTCGGGAATATTTTGACCCACTCTTTAGACCGAGCTGTTACAAGATTTTGTATTCAAGCGGTAATTTATATGCTGGGGCCAGCTCATACATAGGAGATATCTTAACATAAAATAACCTATAAAGGTTTGTAGGTATATAAAGCGAAAAAAACGATTACATGGCGCACGCAAAACACCAGATACTTATTTAAGGCTAAGCGCTTAGCTGGATATGGAAATCTATAGAAATCAACAACACCCTGAAGAGAATGAATGAACCTAGGAAATTACTTTAAACTACTTATGGCTGTTGGATTAGATTAAAGAGAAGTGACGCCGAGCAAGAAAAAGCAGCATTATTAGCCTCGAATTTGATCCTAATTGACGCCTCAGGCAACTTACGAGTATTGCGTGCAAACAAAACGCGTGCAATGGAGCGTAATTACGTGGAGCAATAATGCATGATCAAAAATTTATGCGAATTAGAGGATGCAAATGATCTTTCACAACTGCATCTACTTCACGCGTTACTTTACATGACATTGAAAACTAATTCATCTTTTAGCAAGTATAAGATAGTCATTCAACTCATAAGATTCCTCATTAAGTGGATAAAATTAAGCTATAAGTAGCTAGGATTGTAGCTGGCCGCCCTTTTCTTCGTGTTTGGTGAATTATTGTAAAGCATAATGTCCTGCCTTGACGATATCCGTCATATGATGAACGCAAGCTCGCAAAGGGTTTATCGGGTTCGAGGGACGGCAAACTAAGAACTTAATCTAATCACCGCCCTTAGGGCAATTTTCCTTCGACTTTAGGTGAGGGTAAATTACGAATCCATTCCACTAGCCGCCTCAAACG